TAAGGAGATTGTGAGAAATGGACTTTAGGTGGTCTGTAAGGAGAAGAAATAATGAGAGAGCAACCATTGGTAGCCACTTTATACGTATTGTTTCAAAATTTTATACCAAATGTTCCAAACTCATACACCTGTTGTTCATAACTAATAGCTCAATGTTCCTAACTGTTCATAACTTTATTGTTCTAAACTTTTATACCAAATGTTCCAAACGTTGGTATAATGTTCCAAAATTTTATACCAAATGTTCTAAACTTTTACACCAAATGTATCGACAAGAGTTGCTTTCTCATTATTAGATCATTATAGACAAAGTCTGAATGAGAACACTCTTCAATTGGTGCTACTAAAAGTAATTCGTCTGCATGGAGCTACTCGACCCACGTGCAAGGGGAAAACCTCTGTGCTCTTTGTCGGTCGTCTGTCCACAGCGGCGACGACGACCTTGAAAGTAAGTGAATGTAATTTACTTCTCAATTTGGGGATTTTTTTGTAATTCGCTTATTACTTCTCAAGTTCTCAATTTGGGGATTTTTTATGCTATTTCGTTTAATTGACTGTAAATCTTCCTAACTATTATTGGAACAATACGGTATTACGTTTTGAACAATTGATATAAAATTTTGGAACAATACGTATAACAGTTTGGAACAATACGTACAAAGTTATGAACAATGAGCATTTTGTTAGAAGCATTACTTATTATATGTTATGAACATTGAGCATTTTGTTAGGAATATAAGGAAAAACTTCATTATACCAAATGTTTGAAGCATTACTTATTATAAAATTTGCCAAGTTTGGAACAATACCTATATTGGAAACAAAAAGTATGTTAATGTATTGTAAAATATATTGGGAAATAATAAAGGAAGTAATCTGAAAGTATTTACCAAATTAACTTTATCAAACGTAGTGATCTTAGAGTTTTTCATTTCGTCACTTAAACGGGTATATACAAGATAGATTATATACAAGGTAATGTAAAACTAAATTCTCAATTTATACTCAATTTATGTCAGGTTTTTAGGGTTCTTCAATAAGGTTATATTTTAATTTTCAGACTGTATATAGCTTGGTGGTGGGAAGGCTGGGTTAACTTGTAAGTGAGAGTACAAGTTATCACAGTCTTGTTTACAGTGATATAGCTTTCAGTTATCACAGTGTCTAATTGATCTAATAAATGCACAAAGTATAGGTTTTGGTACCAAGAAGGCTTGAAGTAGGTTGTAATAACGATTTAGTTTTTATAAATTAGCATCAATGATCCTATCATTGTACAAATGCTTTTGCACCGTGATGATGTTGTTGCACCTACGTTCACCATTCTTGACAAATAATGAACAGATTGTATTCAAGACCATTAAAAAAAATGAAACATAGCCTTCCCAGCCAACACAGTCACTGTCTCAAGGTCCACCTCTGTCTCAGGCATCAACACAAAGGTCCCAGCCAACACAAAGGTCCACCTCTGTCCCAGCCAACAGTTACTCCGACTGCATCGAGTAAAGGTCCCTGCTGCTAAGGCCAGGAAGCAGAAGACCAACTCAATGAGTGGCAAAGGGCAAAGGGCAAAGAAAAGGTCCATGCTGCTAAGGCCAGGAAGCAGAAGACCAACTCAATGAGTAGGAATACTGCAGATTCGCAATAATGAAGATGAGATGGCTTTGTGTGATAGAAGCATCCATAAATAAATGGTATGATTCTATCTTTTTGTTGATAAATGCGACTTGTTAAATTTCCATTCAAATAGCTAATTGTCTCTTTCATCAAATTTTAATCTGATCTCATATCAAATTTTAATTGTCCACCTCTGTCATCATTCTCTCTGTTAGAACGAGAAGTGTTTCAGGCCTCTAAAACCAACACCTACTGAAAACAAAGGGGTAGCACAAACATCTACTGCAGCAACCAACCCCTCACAACAGCCACAATTACAGTCACTGTCTCAAGGTCCACCTCTGTCTCAGGCATCAACACAGCCTTCCCAGCTAACACAGTCACTGTCTCAAGGTCCACCTCTGTCTTAGGCATCAACACAGCCTTCCCAGCCAACATTTACTCCGACTGCATCGAGGGAAAAGGGCAAAGTAAAGGTATCAAATTTTAATACTTTTTTCATATCTGTTTGTCTCTTTCATCATTATAATTGTATACCAAATGTTCCAAACTTTTATACCAAATGTTCCAAACCTGTATACCAAATGTTCCAAACTGTTATACCAAGTTCCCTAAAACTTTTATACCAAATGTCCAGTCAACCTGTATAACTTTTATACCAAATGTTCCAAACCTGTATACCAAATGTTCCAAACTGTTATACCAAAATTCTATTTCAAAAGCAGAATGAAACTGTTATACCAAATAATCTTGCTCAATCCAGTCATACTCTTTAAGATATTCTAGTGATTCAACTAATGTCTCAAGGTCCACCTCTGTCTCAGATACACAACCCACATCCCAGTTACTCCTCCGGGCATCAAGTCAAGCTAAGGGCAAAGAAAAGGTATGATTCCGGCTGCATCAAGTCAAGCTAAGGGCAAAGAAAAGGTATGTTAAATTGTATGATTATGAGATGGCTTTGTGTGATAGAAGCATCCAAGCTATGTTAAATGGTATGGTTATACGTTTCTATCTTTCAAACCAAATGACAATATTCCTAATTTATATGCTAATTTATATTCCTATTGTTCTTAATTTATATGCATATTCCTAAATATATTCTTGAGGATTTACGTAAGAAACAACAAGCACAATTTCAAAATTGTAACAAATACCTCTCTATTGGAAATTAGTGTTAATTTGGTAAATTAGGAACAATAGGCATAAAATTTAGGAAATTTGTTGTAAGTTCTTGATTGTTTCACTCATAATGATCTTTATACATATAATTTAGGAACACTAAATTTAGGAACACTAAATTTAGGAACAATAGGCATTAAATTTAGGAACACTACTTATAAATTAGTAACAATATGCATATTAATAACACTTAATGTTCCAGACTTTAACAACCATTATATATCAAATCAACAAGAGTATTTAAGAGTAGATTATATACAAGGTAATGTAAAACTATAAGGGGAAATCATTTTGTTTGTTCTATGCTGTTAGTTCCTTAAAATCTCAAAGGGGCTTCTGAGCTTTCTCAAAAGCCTTTTTCTTTAATCATTGAGTCAATTTTGACAATCTAGTGTTATATCGTGTATTCAAATTTACTAGCCTGTTGAGTAGCATCATGTCCTCGGTACAATAGAGGATTTCAAAATATATGTCGATACAATAGAGTCAATGATAAAAATCTGAGGATGTCACAAAAAGGCGTAAGGCCAAAGCAAAGAATGATATGGAGAACTATACTCATGAAAAGAGCCGAGGACATGATGCTGATAATAGTTGGATTGGAATGTTTTAACAGAGGCTAGTAAATATCCGTATAAACATCATTAGTGTTATAGCCTATTGTCTTCCACCTGATGTCGAACTTTCCAATCGAGTTCTTTTCTTAGGCATTACAAAGATGTATCTGATCGCTTTCTCGCATGAATGTTGAATGCCAGTGTCCTTTCCTACTATGCTCCACCTATTGTGAAGATGCTTACATCGAATACATATCCTTAAAGGACATCAATTTTCAAGAGGATTGGATTTTACCTGCGTGGGAGGATGTACACCTTAGCATTTTCTTACAGATTGTTCTGCTTGGTTCTTTGCCGAAGACAAGAGGGACAAGAGGCTGCCTCTGAATATTTTCACTGGTAGCCTCTTGTCCCTCTTGTCTTCGGCAAAGAACCAAGCAGAACGATTTGGAAGAAAATGCTAAGGTGTACATCCTCCCACGCAGGTAAAATCCAATCCTCTTGAAAATTGATGTCCTTTAAGGATATGTATTCGATGTAAGCATCTTCACAATAGGTGGAGCATAGTAGGAAAGGACACTGTCATTCAACATTCATGCAAGAAAGCGATAAGTTTTGTACTCTCAAAAGGAAAAGAGATCCAATACTCCCAAGAGGATGTTATGTTCATACTGATGAAGATAAATTTTGATCAGGATCCTGAAATTGTCCCACGTTTTCCACTTGCAAAGAAGAAGACCAGTAGTGGGTCGAGTAGCTCCATGAAGAGACTACTCTTACAATGCCTCTCGAGTGATAACACTAATGATGTGCAATAATGAAGATGAGATTATGAAGATGAGATGCAGATTCCCAGCCAATCAAGTCGAGCAAAGGGCAAAGGGAAAAGGGCAAAGAAAAGCTCCCTGCTGTTAGGCATTTGTTACAACAATTTCCGACATTAAAAGCCATCAAAAGCCACATCGGTATCAAGGTCACTATTTGTCGGTTCAGAAACCCAGGTACTTCAACAACTGTGTGCCTCGGTTGAAACTTATTCATACTTGGACTAAGATAAATTTTTGTTAGATAAATTTTTTGGCGGCCAGAAATGCTGAGCATGCTGTTGTTGTTGTAGCATCCTGAGGTCGATCAGGATCCTGAAATTGTCTCACGCTTTCCACTTTCAAAGAAGAGGACCTACTGTCGAGCAGCTCCATAATATTCTGATGGTTGGGCTTTAGGTAAGTCTTTGGGTGGGTCAAATGGGTGAATAGTGTTTATAAGTTAATCACATTTACATCGGTGTAAAAACTCTTTGGCTAATATTAAAAGTTTGATAATGTCTTAATGATTTTATGCACTTATTATTTGGGTCGATTATTTAGTATGTAGGATTAATAAGAGTATCACATCTCTTTACTAAGAGTTCTTTAAAAACTTAGATATTTCCTAAATCAGTGAGTCCTCCCATTGCTTGTACTTGGGTCTCCGCTTGGACTTGGGTCTGTAAGGAGATTGTGAGAAATGGACTTTAGGTGGTCTGTAAGGAGAAGAAATAATGAGAGAGCAACCATTGGTAGCCACTTTATACGTATTGTTTCAAAATTTTATACCAAATGTTCCAAACTCATACACCTGTTGTTCATAACTAATAGCTCAATGTTCCTAACTGTTCATAACTTTATTGTTCTAAACTTTTATACCAAATGTTCCAAACGTTGGTATAATGTTCCAAAATTTTATACCAAATGTTCTAAACTTTTACACCAAATGTATCGGCAAGAGTTGCTTTCTCATTATTAGATCATTATAGACAAAGTCTGAATGAGAACACTCTTCAATTGGTGCTACTAAAAGTAATTCGTCTGCATGGAGCTACTCGACCCACGTGCAAGGGGAAAACCTCTGTGCTCTTTGTCGGTCGTCTGTCCTCATGAGCCTCCATAATGCTCCTCATAGGCTTAAATCCTTACAGTTTATCATGGCTTAAATCCTTACAGTTTATCATATAATGTGTGAACTGTGAAGCAAATGAAGGATGGTGGATCTTGTATTGATATAGGTTTTCATCGTTTGGCAGAAATGAAAAAAATAGCCTTTTTAGTGATAACTTCATTGTACTTATTTTAGTGATAAGAACCGGACATTGAGAGATCATTGTCCCTGAACCGGACATAACATAGTTAAGTCTATGTTATGAAATATAGTTATTATTACAATTATAGACTCCATCTTGCCGGCACACACTTGCCCTCCTGCCTGCACATACCTCCCTGCACACTTGCCCCCCTCCTGCCTGTACATACCTCCTTGCTCTCCTGCCTAATAACAATATTCTCGTTTCATAATGACATTAAGCATGGTCAAACTAAGTTGTCATATAAGTTTGCAATTTAAGCGTTCACCTCTTTTGCGGCATCTACTACCTTTTCCCTGCACGTGTTTTCTTCGCTCAACACGATTTTCCCACAGAATTCCATCCTCAGTTTTGCAATTTCATCACGCTGCAAAGGCTGCAACAAACAATCATTGTGAAACAATCAGGATCCTAACTTATAGGAAGAGGATATAGAACATTAGGAATATAAATTAGGAACATTAGGAACATAAATTAGGAACATTAGGCATATAAATTAGGAACATTAGGCATATAAAGATCTGGATTAAGGAACTTACTTTCTTGTTTACTCCTATTTTCCAGTCATCTTGCCCTTCGTATGATTCCATGTGTTTCGGGGCATACACTCCACAGTCTGTGATATTATCATTGTTCCTCCATGGCATTTGTTTGGTTACTATTTTGAATTCTTTTACTGAATTTCCATTGCCTGCTTGTGTTTCATTGAGGAATTGTGCAAATGCCTTCAACTTCAATACAAAAATTAAAGTTAGTTACATGGACATTAGGAGTTGGAACAAGTTTTACTAACAATTAGAATTTAGTTTTACAGAGTTCTTACAAATGTTTGTGGGAAGTCCTCATACTTGCTTTTAAATGAAATGTGCCTTTGCAGCTTTCTGTTGTCGATCACCTCTAGTATTTTCTTCGTAAAGTTGATGCAAAACAGGTAGTAATGATAATATGCAGGTACTGGGAAGAATACCTATATTGGAAACAAAAAGTATGTTAATGTATTGTAAAATATATTGGGAAATAATAAAGGAAGTAATTTGAAAGTATTTACCAAATTAACTTTATCAAACGTAGTGATCTTAGAGTTTTTCATTTCGTCACTTAAACGGGCCTTGAATGCTATATATCTTTCATCGTAAGTGTTTTTTGATTTCTTGAAGTAACCTTCGCCGCATAGTATTTGCTTCAGTATTGAAATGAGTGTATGAGGTAGACATTACGTTATAAATTAGGAACATTAAATGTATGAGTTTGGAACAATACCCAAAACTCAGTAGTGCAAAAAAATCCATGTTGAGTATATATGCATAGGAGTCAATGATGTTGCTCACCACCTGATTGCCTTCTTGCAGTGTTGCCAGTGTTGCCATGTCCTCCCTGTTGATGTAGTTTAATGGATCTCGGTATAGCTCCTCACTTTATTATGCAGCACATACAACAACAATTAAAGTTAGGAAATATATAAGTTAGGCATTGATATAAAGTTAGGAAATATATAAGTTAGGAATTGATATAAATTAGGAACAACAGATATATTAGTTATGAACAACAAACTTACAGTGCAGATGGTCCAGTAGCGAATGCATACTCAACAACCATTTTTTCATTTCATTTTAGTGTCTTGGATACTAGTTCATTTTTTGTCATGAATGGTGAACGTAGGCATTGTGGGAGATTTTGTGTGATCCTTTTTTCTCTCTTTTTTTGTGGTATCACATTCTTTCTTTTTTTTCGTTTTTTTTTGTTTGGTTTTCTTCTGGGGAGTCTTCAGTGTGAGTCTGGGGAGGGTTTTCTTCTGGGGAGTCTTCAGTGTGAGTCTGGGGAGGGAGAGGAGGAGGAGGAGGAGTCTTCTGCGGAGGAGGAGTAGTTGGAGATTGAGTCTTCTGGACTGTTGTTGGAGTCAGGACTGTTGAAGTATGGACAGTCAGGGCTGATGCTTGGTTTTGAAGTTGTGAAGCTTGGTTTTCTCCAGTAAAAAAAGCATGGAGTGTTGAAGCTGTAGTGTCACTATGAGTTACTTCGTTTTGATTGTTCTTGGCTTGTATGTTTGATAATGCTTCATTAAGCTCAGCCATGAACGCTGACTCATCAAAAACATGTGCTGGATCAGTGTATTTGTACATCTTGTCAACAATTATGGTCTTCAATTCTTTTTGTATTTGTACATCTTCAAACATGCTAATGAAAGCATACATAACAGAAAATTTTTTTACCAGCGTTGCTGCCATTGTTGAAAACTGGGCAAAGTAATCCTTCAATAAACAGGAGAAAGGAGTGTAAAAGATTAGAACAATATGTAGAACATTAAGAACCACAAACATTAGTAAGAACAATAAGTTTCTAAGAACAATAAGTTTCATTAAGAAATGAAACAGTAATTTACCCGTGTTTCTAAGGATGCAGTTGGATTTTCTTCCAATCTCAGGCACTTCTCAATCTCAGGCACTGGAATTCTTGGATTTTCTTCCAATCTCAGGCACTTCTCAATCTCAGGCATTGGAATTCTTGGAAGAACATGTCCTCGACCATAACCTCGTTCTAGTTCAATCTTCATCCTTGAATGAATCATGTCTTTATTCCAAACAGAGGTTAGGGGAATTTGCCTTGGAGGATAAGCATCTCCTCTTTGAAGTCTATCAAAATAGACAATCTGATTTTAAGCAATATATAAGAAAGATTAGAACAATATGTACAACAATATATAGGCATATAAATTAGAAAAATTAGGAACAATAGGAATACAAATTAGAAACAATACGCATATAAATTAGGAACAATGAGTAGAAAAGATAAACAATAGGTAGAGGAGAGAAGTAGTTACCATCATGAAAGGAAGTGGACCAGTGAAATATGATGATCCCTTTTTCCATTTTCTGACTGCTTCAGTCATGCTTTGTTTTGTGAACAAACACCAATCAAGTTTGCTCACTTTGGTGATATCCTTACAGCTACATAAAAATTTGAAATTAACAGATGTGTTATCTGTTGACATTACACAGCAATTAATCGCAGCTGCAATGAAATTCAGTAAAAACTCAGTGGACACATCTTGTTTTTTTTGTTCTTCTATCACTTTTACAAGGACACCGAAAGTTGGACTTCCAGTGTCAAGCCCAAACGCCCAAACTGACTCCTCCATTGCCTTAGAAACAGTGAGTTGTCTTCTCTCTCTTTTCTCTCTTCATCAGAGACCTCAGAGTCCTTTTTATCAAAATTAAAATTTGTTCTTGGCTCTTTAATTTTGACTGGACCTTGGGGCAGGCCGTAGACTACATGAACATCCTCTTCAGTTATTAGTATCTCTTTGCCATTGAAGAGTTTCAAAGATGTTCTATCGGGGTCAAAGCTATTGACCAATTCTTCAGAAAAACTGCCATTGTGAGCATCTAAAGTTAAGTGAAGGAATCCACCAAACCCCAAATCATTGATAGCATCCTTATGTTGAGGCGGAAGGTCTTTTAAAACCTTATTTATAAACCTCTTGGCGGTGTGTCTCTGTCTCAATGCTTTGTGTTCTCTCATCTGCTTCTGCTTCTGCTTTTTTTGACTGCAGGACAATATGCATATAAATAAGAACAATAGGAATATAAATTAGAAACATTAGGCGTATAAATTAGGAATATTAGGCAGGAACAATGAAAAGGGCTGATCATTATAGGAACAATAGGCATATAAATAAGAACAATAGGAATATAAATTAGAAACATTAGGCGTAAAAATTAGGAATATTAGGAATATAAATTAGAAACATTAGGCGTATAAATTAGGAATATTAGGCAGGAACAATGAAAAGGGCAAAGGACTGATCATTATTCCAAACATTAGGCATATAAAAAATTAGGCATATAAAAAATATGCAATAAATTAAGAACAATAGGAATTACAATTAGGAACATTAGGCGTATAAATTAGGAATATTAGGCAGGAACAATATGCAATAAATTAAGAACAATAGGAATTACAATTAGGAACATTGGAATATTAGGCAGGAACAATATGCAATAAATTAAGAACAATAGGAATTACAATTAGGAACATTAAGCGTATAAATTAGGAATATTAGGCAGGAACAAATGGATTTCTAAGCCTAATGTGCTGAATTGCCCAGCCTTCCCACCAACTTGCCCCTTCCCACCACCATTTGACAATAACACTAGAGGAACAATATTAATGGCATATCCGTAAATAATGTTGCGGTGAACATTAAGCAGGAACAATAGGCATTAAAATAAGAACAATAGGCATATAAATGGATTTCTAAGCCTAATGTTGCGGTGCCCAGCCTTGCCACCACCACTTGCCCCTTCCCACCACCACCACCATTCGATAATAACACTAGATTGTCAAAATCTAACATTATTGACTCAATTATCAAACTAGACTCCAATAGTTCAATTATCCAACTTCGAAGAACCCTATAAACCCTATATTGAACAATAAGATATAAAAATTAGAACATTACGTGTATTAGCTTGAAACATTACTTACATAAATCTGGAAGAATCCATGGAAAATTGAAAATGCGACGAAGATGAAGAAGTGATAACCTTACGCTCCTCCACCATTCTCTTAGCTCTCATCTCCAACTCATCACACTGCTCATTCAACTTCCTCTGTTGCAACACCAACCCTCGACGACTCTCAATCAATTCCTTCTTCTTCACCTCTAACTCATTCCTACAAACCAAAAACCCCTCATTCACCTGCTTCTCTTCAACTCCAGCTCCTCCATTCGCTCTTGAATTCGCCTTTCCCTCGAACCCAGCCCCTCTTCACGCTCCATCACCTCCTTCTCCCTCAACTGAACCCCCTCATTCACCTCCTTCTCCTTCAACTCCAACTCCTCCATTCGCTCTCGAATTCGCCTTTCTCTCGAACCCAGCCCCTCCTCACGCACCTTCATCCCTTTCTCCTTCAACTGAAACCCATCATTCACCTCCTTCTCCTTCAACTCCAACTCCTCCATTCGTTCTCGAATTCGCCTTTCCCTCGAATCCAGCCCCTCTTCACGCACCTTCATCCCCTTCTCCCTCAACATCACCCCCTCATTCACCTCCTTCTCCTTCAACTCCAACTCCTTCATTCGCTCTCGAATTCGCCGTTCCCTCGAATCCAACCCTTGTTCCCGCACCATCATCTCCTTCTCCCTCATTTGAAACCCTTCATCTACATTACAACGTTCAGCCAACTGCTCCTCTCTCATCTCCAGCACTCTCCTACGCTCCTCAATCTCCTTCTCCTTCGTCGCCAACTCTTCATACTTCTTCTCCAACCCTTCCAACTTCTTCCGATTCTCAAGAATCTGCCTCTTCTTCAACTCAATCACTTCATAGCTCTGTTTTACCTCCTTCTCTCTCATCTCCACCTCTCCTGCCTTCTCTTTCACCGATTTCTCCCATAATTCTAGCTCGTTTCTCTTCACCTCAGCCTTCTCCTTCAACATCTCAACTTTGTCTAAAGCATCAAAAATTTCTCTCTCCTTTGACTCAAGTTCCTTCTCACGACTCGCCATTGAAGCTTCTACAATGGAGAAGGAACTCTGCAAAGCACTCCATTGTTCGGAAAGAGAAGGAATGGAAAACACATTTAAGTTCGAATTATCAAAAGTTTCGCCGATTTTTTTCATCGCTAACCTGGCATTGGAGACCTTCATAGTGGTTGAAATTGTGGATGTTTGATCCTCCATTGATGAAGAAATTCTGCAGAAATGGAAACCCTAGGAGAGAGAAAAATGACAACGTAACGTCGTCTATATCGTGTCAATATTTCTTTTGTATTTTCCGTACTTCGTTTTTCACTTGAGGTCAATGAGGTGTGGAGCTTGCAATAGGTTGGGTTAAATTGGGTCGGGTTTGATTTTGGATTTAAGATTAGTATGATTATTACTCCGTACTATAGACGAAGTTTGAGCAATCAATATGAACCCGACTTCATTTCTTAAACGTGTTACTTTCCCTAATTTTATTTACTCGCAATAGTTTGAGTTAAATTTTTTTTTTCTTTTTTTTAGAATTGACACTATTTATTTATATATTAAATTCAAACGTTACTGTGTACTTTATTGTTGGATTAGATTCATTGTATAGTTTCAATTTTTTTTTTCCATAATTTTATTAATACATAAATTGCATATTTTTATGTTCAAACTTGTACTATTCAAAAAAAAATGTTCAAACTTGTGCGTTGGCATGTATGCCAGTCAAATTGTGACACGCAGTTAGAAATAGAGAGTACAATACTCAATCTTACGAATGCCAATGAGTCGATACTCTCATAAACATCTTGCGAATAAGCTCGATCAAAGGTTGGTCAAAGTTTGTTCATTAAATAAGGTGTTGTTCGGTTGACGTAAAAAAGTATAGGCAGTTGAAATTCCTAAGAATTGGAAATTTTTTTATGGTGAGTAGTTGACAAATTCGTTGGTGTTAGAAATTCCTAAAAAATTTAGCTTCCCGCAAAATGGAGGAGCTTAATTACCTAGGATGACCTAAGTAAGTAGAAGTAGTAGAACTTCCCATAGCCTTTTCTAGAAAATACAATACAATTACATAAGAATATAAATTTCCAAGACTTTGCACTTCCTACAGTCAACCAAACAAGCACTAAATTAACGAGCTTGAACAAAAATGATATATTTCAATTTGTCATAAATAAGCTAAAAAGTAAAGTGGTAAAGATACACTAGTATGTGCAAACAAGCCTTTTCTGGAGTTTTCCCCCACCCTATTCCCTAAAAAGTAAAAACACCTATATTTTGCTAAACGAGGGAAGCGATGCATATCATTTGCTAAAAAAATTGTCAAGTATGGGATTGGGAGAAGGCACAACGCCTAAGAGTTGGGGGTGTAGGATGATGCAAGGCGGCGTGTAGCATGGGAACAAGGCATGTGCACACAAGGACAAGGCATACAAACACCTATTTTTGGCATTTGATTAACAACTTCCATTCTTACACCTAAAAAATACTTTCAGAGAAAAAATTAAAGCAAGCGCACAGATATCGTACAAAGGTTCTAAACAAAGTTTACATAATAAAAAAAATAAAAAATTTAAAAATAAAAAATAAAAAATTTAAAAATAAAAACAGAATGTTGTACTTTACATGATTGTAGTTAAAATTTAAACTTATGATTGAAACTTTGTTCTCTTCAAACTTGATGATTGTTGAAACACCTAAATTAACCAGCACAGAGGGGTAAAAGAAAACAGAGCATACAGACAAGATAATGATCATTACATCTATCACAATTGATATTACAAGCACCATTATCCAGTGTCAGCATATCATATTTTTTGAAAAAAATGGGTAAGGTAACATACTGTTCTACATTGTTTATCCAGTTTAGACAAAATGATGGACATTTTCAAAATCAAACTAAAGAACCAGTTTCTGTTGCATGCATATTTTCTGAGGAAAACTGAAACCGGTCAAGGTCTAAGGGGCTCCTCAGAGTGGAAGCAATAACTACCAGGGCATCCTCCGTGATTTCAAAGCTGCACACAATCAGAAGAAACCAAGACAAAGTAGCTCATTTGCATGACTGAGATTCTTGAAACATCACCACAAACCACTGGCTGTAAACTTCATTCTAAACCTTAATCCGAATCACAAATGAACCTGTTCAGGAAGCAACATAGGAGCGGCGCTTAGATTGTGAGATACAGAAATGAAAATGAAAACTTGGAACATAAAAGCATAACAAGTTCAAAACACCAAAAAAGGGTATCTGCTGAAAAACATGATGTATTGAATCTGCATCTCAAAGTGAAACGATTGATTGTATACAGATATCTACACCCTCTAGAAGTAAACAGTTAGACCAGCTGCAGCAGCAGCAGTCAAAGTGTCAGACCGGCAGGAGAAGAATCGATCCAGAGTCTAATTTCTGACTGTAGGGATTTCAAGATCTCCATATAAGAGAATGCTACCAAAGACAAGTGACCATAAAACACATTTTAAAATAGACCCAACACACAAAAAGTCTAAATCCAACTTAGGCATTATTTATGATAATGGGCAATTTATAGCAGCTTGACTGTCAAAAAGTCATATTGTACTAAAAATTGAAAATAGCCACAAAGTATCTCTTATCAGATGATAGAAGAAATTAAAATAAAAGCCACACAAACTTTTAAATGATCACTCACATGCAGGAAGGTTAGAAATATCTGCTGAAACAGCACAAGGTATTCCCAAGTTTGTAAGTGCCCCCCTTATGATCCCACATGGAAAGTAGAGATGCATACTTGCTGCCTGTGCAGCTTTGTTCTCCACCGAAGCCTCAGACGTATCTTGGGACGTAACAGAACTATCAGGTGACGGATCAACAGAAATGTGTGATAGCCAACGGAATCGATTATCTTGCAGCACAAAAGTACCCTAACCAAACATAACATAACTAATCTTGTGAGGCAATAAATCTTCAAATAATTAATATCAAACCATTTAGTAGTTGACAGGAACTCACTCTATGATTTGTCTTCAAATTGTCGATCTGTTTCTTGAAGATTTCAGACCAGAAATCCTTACAGATGAACTTGATTGCGTCAAGATGGTCACCAAATCGTGGTCTATCCATGGTATACCTAACAAAAACAACTTCATGTAACAAGCTGAAACTTCCAACAGCAGTAACTAAATGCAGAAACAAGCATTTGAATTCAAAATTCGAAAGAACAAAAAGCAAGCGACAGCAAATTAACATGAAAGATCAATCTTGAACCTTATTCTTTTGAGAATGTACCCATTTCACTAAGGGGGCTATTTGGCTCACAAACACGTTAAGAATGGGGTGGAATCAAATTAAGGAAACAAATAGAACGCATTCTCAACCCATTCTTTTTTCGCAGGAAAAAATTGGTTCTACTTGCTCCCTCACCTTCCGTCACTCCCAACTTTGACTTTAACTTTAAACTTCTCTTACATTTCAGTCTTGTATGAACATCATAGTCCATATGTTGAAACATTAAATTGAACCAGTAATTTAAACAGACTTCAGAGGGAAAGGTTCACAGTTTTTCCTGGTTTGGAATGGAATAAGCACCCCTACTCACATGAAGACTATCTAATAGATCTTACTGGAAGAAACTTTTATATTAAAAGGCTTATAAGAGGAGATCAAGAGATAGACTTGCCAAAGCTGGGCTACAGGGTATATACGCTCACATAATGTTTCCCAATCCCTACCCCATCACAAATCCTTAACAGTTAATCTCAATCCTTGTGATCTCTTAAGTCTTCATTTTACAGGTCAACAGCATGCAATGCACAAACATATTTGAAAACACCCCACTCCCTTAAACCTGCTGAACTCTCCCTTTTCATAGGTCATACCCCAGTACAATGGTTAAGCTTCTCATTATCTAACCTTTGATCACTTCCCTTTTATAATGAAGTATAGTCGGATCATTAATCATCACTAAAATACGACAAAAAGTTTCAACAACATTCTCAGTAGAAGATGATAAACCACGCTAAAAACTACATTTTATAAACAGTATAGGCTCCGCTCTTCTCATAAGTGGAATACAGGCAGAGAAGTTCTTGTAAATGATCATAACGCTCGTAATCAAATTCATATGAGTACATAAAAACAGCCATGAATACTACTATGATAAGCTACTCAATAATCACGAATTATCTAATCAAGCTTATAGTGTGGCGGATCTTACTCGTTTGGCAGCCGAGAAAATGGTGACCATAACACAATTTACACAACTTTTCAAGACAATGCAACTATAGTACAGTATCTGCCGCATTGTGAGAAATTTACCAATACTAATCTAAAATCTCTTACATTGTGAGAATTTTCCCACCAATTTCACAAAACCAATCCCCAACAAGCTAAATCCCCAATTTCCCACCATTTTCTAATCCAAATTCAATATTATCCAAAATTATCACTATTAAATGTCGCAAATTTGTCAGAAATTCATCAAAAACAATCAAAATTCCCTTAAAATTCTAAAAATCCTACCAGATCGCATCATCACAACAACTCACGATTCAAAAAGAAATGAAATTAGGGTTTGAGAGAGTAAGAAAAAAAGCGAATACCTCTCAGAAAGTTGGTGACCGACTTGGTAGCCAATGGATTCGATACGACGAGCGGCGAGCTCAGGTTTGGTGGCGTAGAAACGATCGGCGTAAGATGAAACCATTTCAATCAATAAACTATCTACACAACTCTCTGCTACTTCCCTCCCCATTTTCTCTCAGCTTCAAAGGTTTTTGTGAATTGTGATGATGTTGAGTTTACAACCCAGAAATGAAAGTAAAATTAAGTAATTAACCAGACCAAGAAAAGAGAGAAGGGAAAATTGGGAAGCAAATTGGAGTTTCCTGACCCAAATTATTAAACCAAAACTATGGAGTAAAAAAAAAAAAAAAAAAAAAAAAAGAGAATCACAAGGGTGGGGTGAGAATTGATCCCAGGAAAAAAAACGAATGTAAAGTCCGATCCAATTTTAAAATTCATGACATGAATTCATTTCGGTTGTATAAAAATATCTGATCCGTTTGATCCAATCCAAATTTTAAATATCTGCAAAGATTGGGAAGCAAATTGGAGTTTCCTGATCCGTTTTAATTATATAGTATTTAACAAACGGTAGTGCAAATTTACAACATATCAACTTAAGTAATTAGATGATTAATGGAGTATAAAAATAGTCAAATTTATTCATTGACATTTGTGAAATTCAAAACATTACATTTAAAAGAGAACAAGCGAAATATTTCCCTTAGAAATGGAAATTCCTACGCAACATCTAAAATATGTTGTGTTTGGTTAGAAATTTCCTAGGAAATGTAAATTTCCACATAGCATGGAAAATAACTCACCAAGCCCACCCTAGGTGAGTGAATTCCTACAATGCATAGGAACTAGGAAATACTAATTCCAGGATGTCAACCAAACACTTTTGCACAATTTTTATGTAATTAGCAAGGGGAAAACATTCCCATGTTATATGATTTCATGTGAGAATTTATTTTCCATGTTTAACCAAACAATCACTTAAGTTACTCCATACCATTTATTTGATATGGACTATTATTCTCTTCTTCCTTCAAAATATTGATTATCTCTATATTTTTACTTTATTAAGAGTAGTATTGAATTGATAGTTTAATATTACGAAGTATGTAGTATGTGGGGGAGTAAATGAAATGAAGTAAACTTATGGAACCATGCTAACTTAAATTCATATTGATTAATCTTTTAGAAATGATTCATAAAGAAAAATAAGACAATTTTTAAAAGATAGAAGGAGTACATAATGTACATTTAGTTATTTGAGCCTAGACATTGTCCCAAGATATTGTATTAATGTCATGATCATATCCTAATTGATACTTCCTCTATTTCTTTATAGTTGCAACAATTCTCTTTACACGCTTGCCGATGCATGATTTCAATCGTTAATACCTTTAACCAATACATAAATTGTGTAAAATTCAAATTGTTGCAACTATAAAAAACCGAGGAAGTATTTGTTTTTTAAAGATACTATATGTAATATGACATTAGTTTAGTGGGAGAATTGATTTTAGCACACCATTAATTGATTTTGGCACACCCCTATGTAAGAGAGCATGGAAAACTATGCTCTCACATAAAAGGTGTGCCAAAATCAATTGTGGTGTGCCAAAATCATTTCCCGTTTAATGGGAAACACTTTGGTATCTATACTTGAGGATGAGTTCAAATCTTGTCAAATTACTTTGTCTTTTTTGCCATTTTTCTTGAAGTTCTTAAACCTGCTTTTTATCTCTCCATTCCTCGTTCGGTTTTTCCTTTGTTGCTCTTTGTTTCATCATCAGTTACAGTTTCAATATGGCATATTGAGGCACCAATCAAGCAATCAGTATACATCCAATGTAGCAGAGTACACCCAATCCTCAAATGCTCATTTGCTTTTGCTGATCTGAAAAATGAATGGGCAAAAAGTACACAAACTTTGCCTCAAGTGCTATTTTACTCAATGTCAGAATTTGCGCAATGTATTGGCATAATGCAAGTTCAAACATAAACGCAATCCGCATTCATAAACCATAAATAGGATATTATAATAGATCAAAGCTGCAAAAGCCGTTAAATATATAGCTAGGCAGTTTATATTATCAACATAGTTCACAGCCAATGCAAAATCCAAACATATAACAGACTCCGGTGGATTACATAACTTGGCCAATTCAAGTCACGATAATTCTGATTTTTATTTAGGACCCATCTCTCTCTCTCTCTCTCTCTTTTTTCTTAGACTAATCTTTGAAGGGATAGCAAGGAAACCACAATCTGCACTTCTATTTTTCTTTAACCTTGAAGACCAATAATTCCTGCACCAATATTAGAAATATTGTTACTATGAATCCAAAAAAATCGGAGATGATTGGCAACCTGACTAGCACTAAAGTCAGGGCATAAGAATCCAGAAACCATTCAAGGATTTACAAGCTTACCACAAGCGATTCTTCCACCAGCATTGCCTGTGGTCTTGCTGAGTTCATGTCCACCTAAACATAATATCCCAAAGAAGTGATGAATCAGGATTCTCTTACTGTATTCTGGTATGGAATGAGATAAAATGTGGCTACAGTAGGTCTTGTAACACACAGAATTCAAAATAAAATCCAGCTTTAAAAAGGCATAAAAGGAACTGCTTCACCGTGCTCTTCTCAATGCATAAGAATATATTTAAGTCTTGTAACATATGATGTCCATGGCATGAGGGTATGTAATAAACACAACAGTAATTATGTGCAATCCTTGGAGATCTAAATGGCTAACTCCAAATTCAGCTTACATATCTCAACTTCCAAAACTTCAATTATATGGGCATTTTGATGATGGCAAGCTTTATTCATACATTCTCTGTAAATGCATAATTTTTTCAGTCCATCACTGGCACAGCCTAATTGGTTAGGCAGTTAAAAAGGTAAGGCCTTTTCTAGATACTTCTATACACAAACAGCTTCTTGAAATCCCGTTAAAAAGAACTCTTAAATTTTGTTGAGCAAACACAGATTTTTAATCTCTCTTTCCCGGTCCATTTTTTCTTCTCCCTTCTTTTTGCTCACATCTTCTACTATTTCAGGCTTTTAGAAACGGCAAAAAGCATAAATATATAGATAGCTTAATAGAAACCATCTTGTTTAATCATTAAGTATGTAATGCCCAAAAAAAAAAGGAGCCACTCATCGGGCGATCGCCTCGATGAAGTATTCCAAGCCTTTTCCACAATTAGATAGTAAGAACAAAGAAGCTACCCTAAATGTCACAAGTTCATTCAAAACCAATTTAACTCTCTATTGTTGCTACTACCCTAGATGAAACTAGCCCGAAAATTGCAAATTCAATATAGTTTCCTCCATATTGCATTAGCCGCAGTAAAAAGTTCAATTCAGCAAATTGACCACATAATAGAATGGAGTGATGCCTTGACTAGTAATTATAGGTCCGAATTTTGGACAAGCAATTAATAATATAAAAAAACTACCCCTTCCAAGATCATCGGGATCAGCATGGACAACAACAGCCCTCCCCACAATAGAATTGGGACCAGAAAGAGGTATCTGCAAAATCAACATCATGTTGGGTTAATACAAAATGATACACGATCAAAAATTGGAGAATTTCAGGGTTAACAAGATGGGGAAAACAAAATTTACCTGGTTATCAATGATGGTAAAGGTAGCGGTACCTGAGACACACATATGAACAAAGTGTAGTAAATAAGAAATACATAGCAAGATTTTGGAACATTGAACCTATAAAATTGGTACATAAACAAATGCAAAATTGCTGACAACCCCAAGCTATTGTCATGTCTTTACAAGAGACCAAATGCAATGAACTATGGAACACCTGAATATTCTTGCTTTCTAGGGAATATAGATACTCTGTACTAAATATGTTGAGTAGGGACCTGGGAGAACAAAACACATCCCCTAACCTTACACTTTAAAGCTGAAGGGTCTAATTGCAATGCCTGTCATTTAAATTTCAAAGCTCACAAACTGATCAAACCTCTCTTTTCATCACTCCCAACATTTCATCTTCCAGAATCACTATGTGCATTATCCTTTCCCCACAAACACACACTCACACCCACACCCACACCCACACCCACACCCACACCCACACCAACCCCAACTAGATAAAGTTAATTTTTGGGTTAATTTGCTGATTGAGATGCTGGTGTGGAGAAAACTAGAAGTGATAAACATTTGGAAGTAGCAGTTATTGCACTTCTCAGTATTTCGCGTCTAATATGGCTGGAACCTTTAAGCTTTAACTTTCACCTTAAACTTCTCTCATATTTCAGTCTCACATGAACTGCATAGTCCACATGTTGAAGCATAAACATGTAACAGACTTGATAGGGAAAGGTTCATGAATTTTTTTTTAATTTGGAATGGAATAAGCACCACCACTCACATGAAGACTATTTGATAAACCTTAAAAGGAAATTAATACTTAACAAGTCTTATAAGAAGAGATAGACTTGCTGAAGATGGTCTACAGGCTATATAACACTCGCATAATCTTTCCTACTCCCTACCCCATCACAAATTCCAAACACATAACATCCTTCAAAGTTTTTCTCAATCCTTGCAATCTCTTAAATCTACATTTTACATTTTTACAGGTCACCAGCATGCAATGTACAAACATATGTGTAAACACCCCATCCCCTCTAACCTGTTCAGCGTTCAAAAACTCTCCCTCTTCATACTCCATTAAAATGTTTTCGCTTCTTGTTATATAACCATTGATAACTTCCCTTCTATAATGGAGTAAACTATGACAAAAAGTGTACTTCAGCAAATTAAGAAAATTAACATGACCAGCAATGACAGCTCAAGATTGACACAATTATTGGACGCTAAATTCAGACGGTCCTTCTTAAAACTAATTAATGATTCTAGTTTACTTCAGCAAATTAAAGGACGGACAAGGGTAACAGAAAACTCTCTCTAAATCAGGGCCAGGGGACACAACCATCATCACCCAAGAGATTAAAATTCAGCAACGTACCATCATCCCCAACTGTGATGTTTCCAAGATCACCAGCGTGGCGAACTTCGTCTTCGGGAGCTCCATGCTCTTTTCCATTTGGGTTAAAGTGTGGTCCTGCAAACAAGTTCATCAGACACTGCCAAACATAATCTTCACTTCCACACCACATAATCATAAATCATAATTAATGATGTACTACGAAATTCGATTTATACCAGTTGACATGCAGCCATTTGTGGTGTCACCAAGAGCATGAACATGAAATCCATGGAGCCCAGGTTTAAGACCCGAGACATTCCCAGTTACAGTTGTTGGGCCTAAAGGAGAATGCAATCAAACAATTAGAATTCCCGTAACATTCATTCATTCGATGTTACAACCAACAAGAAAATAGATATCAAATTTTACCATCTCCTTCTTGGGTGAAGTAAACAGTACCAGCAACACCCTCACTGCTGCTTAGAACAACCACGGCTTTGCCCATGTTTATGTGTGTATTCTAAGAAACAAACACTGCTAATAAGTTCGTATATATTCTGAGTAACGAAACAATAATCACAATCAATACAAAAATAGGATCAACATTGATTGATCACACTTACACAAAAGAATTGCAAACACAAACAGATTTGAAATGATTTATAACAGCGTTCAGCTGACGCAAGGCGAATATCGATCTTATAGTACATAAAAACACAATCAGCCCAAAAAAATCCCCAAAAAGTTCATAATACAGAAGATAATCAGATTTCAATATTCCAGGCAAAGATTAATAGTCCTCAAATTAAAAAATGAATTCAAAAAAAAAAAAAAGGAAAAGAAAGAAAATTCAACAACATAAACGACAAATAAGCAATCAATAATACCAGAAAACAATGGTCTAGTCAATATATATAATCAAATTATAGTTCTGGAAAACTAAACAGATGTAAATCAGTAAATGCTACAGATTTGCGCGAATAATCATAAGAAATCGGTTAAATAGTTTATTTGAGTTGATTCCGATCGTCAAAAACAATTAGATAAACCCAAAATTAAAATCGAAAAAGAGAGGGAATGATGACGAGAGGAGAGAGAAAGAGTACCTCAGAACACCCCTGGAAAATTGAAGAGAGAAGAGTTGGAGATTCGAGCAAAGATTGAAATGAAATGAGGTGAGTTGGTGAGTGGTGAAGGTGGGTTTTAAGAGGAGTTGAATTTTCAAGTTTAAGGACAGGTAGCACAACTATAAATAAAAGTTCTAGTTGTTTCTATTACCTACCTACTCCCATACAATGGATGTACATCAACCCATTTTGGAATGAATGCCTCTTTTGGGTTGTTCATTCATCATAGATAGACATGTACTGATGTACTCTGTACGACACGAGTCACACGGCTCGTAATAGATTTGGTCGTGGTATGCTGGAATCGACGCTTGGCAAAAAGGGTGTCAATTCATACCGTATTATTTTCAAATGCTTCTTTTGAATTGAACGAAACATGCACTTACTTTACCTTTTCATCGGTTTGATTATCTTACGTCCATGTGTTTCCACTGCTGTATATACGCATACGTTTTTACCCAAGCTCAAACAAGCACGCAAATTTCATCCAAATATGATGTATTTTACCAAAACCCTTGCTCAAGTTACTGATTAAATTTTTATCATTAAGAGGTATTTGATCAAGTAATTGGCAGATTCATCACAAAAACTTTCCAAACATAATGCTTCCCCAATTAACTACTCCACAAATTGCACCTAAAAATGAAATTTAACGATTAATTCATCATAACTCGTTAACAAATTGCTCAAGTTAATGTAGTTGTTTAACAATTAATTCGTAGTTAATTCGGTGTATAACAAGAAACAAATTCATCAGAATTCATAAAAGGTGGTTGAGGGGATCAATTCTTTCAACAACAGAGATAATTGATTTATTTTGCCCTCTAAAACAAAAGTACTATGACAAAATCGATACATGTAAAAAACATAATCCTTAAAGATTATAGACATTTAACCACTTGTGGAGTACTCCGTACAAGACTACATAATACATATCCTCTTATACAACTTCGGCAACAGTGGTATAACCATATTACAGATTGCTTATAATCATAAGACAATTCCTCAACTAACTCATATACTTGACATTGTCCACAACATCAAACGAGGATATTTGAGATTTTCAACTTGAAATAATCACATGAAAAAGAATAGAATTTACAGTCTATATATGTTCATGTGATCCAAAAGAAAGTTTCAGAACTCAAAAGTCTGTTTGCCTTCTTGTCTGGGAGTCTTGCTCAGTCCATCTTCGGCTTTCTTCCCACAATTGGTTTTCCATCCCTAATTTCCGTAGCTCCATAAGCCCTCGCTCAACTACAGAAAAACAGGCAAAAGACATATTTAAGGGTATGAAGCTGACAGAATAACATATAGAGCTTGATCAATGTGCCTAAAATGACTGATACATAAAGAGGCCTTCACATATCTGGACAGCATGGCTATACACAGGATTATGACTTTGTAGCCATTGTTAGTGCAGAAACTTGCACCTGGAGCAAATTCTCAAAGGCCAAGAAAAAGGTACAGTAATAGAAAGGTTTTGCAGCAGAAAATATGCTTGGCATTTTAGGCATAAAAAAATATGAATAACAAACAGTTCGAACAAACAGTAAACTCCTGCAGCTATATATGATTACAAGATTTGTTCATTGGCATTAACAAAATACACCTCTTCTGAGGGCTACGTACTGTCAGTAACGGTGAATACAATCAGCAGCAATCAATTAGTTGAGCATGCAATAAAATGGTAAATGAAATGTAAATTATGAGTGAGACTCAACCAGTATGCATTTACTGGACATCATCAAAGAGGACAGTACAGAATTATAAGACGGACTAAAACTTCAAAGAGAAGAGAATACGAATTTATGGCGTTCTCTCATACACTCTCTTCCTTTTGAATCCTTAAGATTATAAATTTCCATTTCATTTTTCTAACATTTTCAGTTTTATCCTGCTTAAACCATGGAATGCTTCTCAAAGACTGTACCACCCTCCTCATATGATATGAAGTTGATATTTTTTTGAAGAGTAGTGGGTTTCTTTATAACTTCAAACAAATGTGAAGCTTTTTTTTTTTTTTCAAGTTACTGTGTGTTGGATAAGTAGAACCAGATTGTCTTTGGGTGTTCTCTATGTATTCACCCAATAGGCCAATACAGGTTAACCATCTTACAGAGTATCTAGTTTGTTTGAGTTTCTCACAAATTCAAAAGCTGTTTTCCATCGAACATATCATCATCCAATAAATTCAAAGTTGCAATCAATGATATTCACTTCAATAACAACAAAAAATCTTATATCAGGCCAATTGTTGATATAATTGTTGAGTTGAATGGCATAAACACAAACTTATGAATAAGAAAACTTGCAAAGATGACTTCCATCATAAACGAACAAGGTGATCCCATAAACATTTCGTTGTTTTACTCAAACAAGGTCACCAATGATTGGAAAAACTAAAAAGAAAATATTGGTGATTATAAAAATCAACTTTTCTTCCTCATGATTTATTCTATCTTCATTAAGAAAAGTGCACTATTATAGTGTGCAGTGTTGCCCATCCCTCCTCAATGTGATGATTTGCCAAAGCAATTCCTCCGTTTGTTCACATGTACATTAACTTGTATTAGTCCATAAAGTAGTTTAAATGAAAATGACAAGGTTTTTCTATCAAACTAAATTTTCATAATGTCCCTGAACTTGTTTAAATATTCTGCTCTCTTTAAGAGTTTATTTCATCATTAGATCAAACAATTGAATTTCTAGATGCAAACAATCTATACATATTTTTCATTGAGAAGCAAAGAGAGAAAAAAGATACCATCAACTGCATCGTGCGAGGAGCTTGCTCGTGCACTTTGGTTGATCCAAAAGTGCAGGCGCTCATCTGCTATGTCTGGTTCTAGACCATGGTTTCTAGCTCTTCTCCAGAAATACATCAACCAAGCCTGGTAGTACCAAAAAAAAAAATCCATCTATTGTTTAGAAAGGAGCAGTAAAAAAAAAAAAAAAAAAAAAAAAAAAAACGAAAATTATGGAATGAAACCCTAAAAAAGGTAACAAAAATGAAAAAGCAGTAGGAGCTTCCATGAAATCCAGCTTAATTGGGGCTCTCTCTGATATTTGTCTGGAAAAACGGAACTCGAGGAGAAAGTAAGAAGAGCAATCTTCTCTGTTATAACAAACACTAAATGCCCGACACTAGGATGAGTTCAGGGGGCCAGGGCCCTTCAATAAAAAATCTGAGAATCAAAACTATCCAAATAGAGAATCAAATTGAGACTTCAATGATACAAAATGAGAGAAAATCCCTTTCTTCATGAATTTCTAAAATACTATACACCATTTTCTTGAATTCACTAGCGAATCACGCAAAAATAAGGACTAAAGACAAAGACGATAGAAAGAAATCAGATAGACAAAACGTTCAATAATCTCAGTATGTTAGAATTTCAAATAATTTTGTGCATGCATTTTCTCCAATTTCTTGTTCCCAAACAACATTTGAGGAATAACAAGCACTATTTCTAACACACTAAGTAGCATCTTACATGAATTTCAAGCTTGTAATTGCGATTGTGGCTAAAGTGTATGGATTACTGACAAATTATTTATTTCTAAGCATGCTGAATGAAAAATTCTACTCCTGTCCCATTTGTATCATTTTATTTTAAGGAATATGTAATGTAAAGTTAAGTATTCAAGGCAATGTATACTTGCCCACAACTAAAGCACTACTATGCTATCACCAATTATATAAGCTTCTGAATATAATACAAAAGGGCAAACAAAATGGATCAGGTTGACAATACTTGTGTGAGGCTGAACACTACATCCTCTGTTTCAATAAAATCGCAACAATTGCTGATTTGGATTGTTACAAAAGAATTGCAAGTTTGCAACACTGCTCTTTTTGATAACTTTTACAACTTAACCCATATAATTTACCCATACAGTCATACTTGACCCATTTACTTTGAATATTCTTAATTTTTGTATAATCACATAGGTTAGTGACCCCAATTGCTACCTCTCCTCTACCCTAATATATTGTGCCAATTGTAAGTATTGCAATTCCAGTGAAACAAAGGAAGTATATATTAGGAAAGAAAAAAGGTAGCTGCAATTCCATTCAATACAAAGAACAAGTACTAACTATATATATAGACAGATATGGATTAAAGAAAATCTTGGCAACGTTACATCGTACCTGCTTAAATTGCACTTCTTCAGTCTCCTCTTGACTCAGATCTGAAATAAGCACAGACTTGGATAATTAATTACATATGTAAATTAAGAGTAAACTGACAATTTAAATCATGCCTCTTTTCTCCATTTGTTACTTGATTCCTATCTAGTGCTACATGCCCCTGCAAATCATTTTCTTCATATCATTAACTCCCTTTATCTAAGTCATTTTCGACCTCCCTTAAATCCTTTTGAAATACATTGTCCCAATTCCTTGCTAGTGCATCCTCAAGGATGTCTAACATGCCAAAACCAACGTAGCCAGTTCTCTCTTATCAATCCTTAATACATCAGCTTTCCCTCAAATATTTACATTCCTAATTTTATCCCTTAGGGAGTTCCCACACATCAATCTCAACATACGCATCACTACTATACTTATCTTCTTAATATGCTCCTTCCAAAATGTCCAACATTCCGACCCACACAGTAATGCCTATCTAACTGCCATCCTATTGAACTTTTCTTTCAGCTTAAAAGACACACAACGATTGCAAAATAACCAATTACTTCACTCCACTTAAGACACCCAAACTTAGTTAGTTTTACGAATTACACCCAAATTGATATCTCCGTTCCTTTGCAAATTTAATCTTAGATACATGACATTCTCTAATAGGTGACTCCTTAGTCCTTACCATCAATCTAAAATCTCGACATTCACACTTCACCCCCTCTTAATACTAAAATGGCTCTCCATGTACACAATGTTACTACAACTAAGGCTCCTTTTGAATTGACGTAAACAATTTCAACGAAATAAAAATCTTTTTTCAAGGAAAACCACAATTGCAAATTAGTTCTCCTTTGTTTCCTTACAAGAAAATTTATGGAGAAATTGAAAATAGGATAGGGAAGTTGAGGATGAATGAGAGGAAAGTGAATAAGAGATAAGGAAGACGGAGAAAATGTGGCTTCCCTTCTTATGTGAAGGGAAATGTTTTCAACCATAGAGAGTATAGATTTTCCACCCCTTCACAAACCAAAAAAGGAAAATGATAAAAATGGGAAAATCATTTTCCATAAAAGCATTTTAAGTCAAACCGAACACACCCTAAACCTAAACCCTCATGATTCTAACTATTGTCCCCATGCTCCAACTTAGCATTAAGTACAATTCTGTTCTCATCAACCAACATAAATCATCAGCAACTAATAAACACCCCAACACTCATACACAGACAACCACATGTCCACCCCTTTCCGATGGGTAGCCTGTAGCCACCGGTATTAATGTACAGAGTGACAGACAAAAATAAAAACAGATCGTAGAATAGTGGCCTTAATGAAGTTTTCCTTCTTCTTTCAAACCTTAGTTTGTACTTCCTCCGTTTTAATAAAGTTGCAACAATAGGACTTTTGCACTATTCATTGCTCTTGTTTGACTACATAATATGATTCTTACGTTAAGTAAAATATAGTCATGTGGGACCTTGTTAGCTTCGTCTCATAAAATACTTTCACAATATCAACTTTTTATAATTTGTACTCCTATACAATTATAGGTATTTAACTGTAAAATGTGCTTTGAGATGCGTAATTTCATCCTTGTTGCAATATTATTGGAACGGAGGAAGTATAACATTATAGCATCAATGCTGCAACAAAAATAATACTCGCCTTCATACTATTTGTCAAAAATTTGTTTACAATAGATTATAATTATTTTCTACTATAGAAGTCTGATATATAGGAAAAAATTACTTCATGGCTACATGGGTTAAGTTAAAAATATGAACGAAAAAACTTGGAATATGTTCATCTCTTCTTTAAGGATTAGAAATTCAATGGACAAAATATCTGAAAAGATGCAACTCACCAAACGCTTCTGCAAATTTCAGACTCGGAGATCTTGAGTCATCTGCAAAGAAATGTGGGGAAAGTATTTAGAAAAAAAGATCAAGAACAAGCATGAAATATTCTGCATGTATGGCAAACTATATTCAAAAAGCACCAGCTTTAACTTAGTATAATAAGACACAATCTAGTGACAGTTTCAAATGTGCTCTGTCATAAGTTAAGCTGGTCTAATAAGAAACAATCTAGTGACAGTTTCAAATGTGCTCTGTCATTAGCTAAGCTGGTCTAATAAGAAACAATCTAGTGACAGTTTCAATTGTGCTCATGGGCAATCTCTCAGGGTAGAAGTCACCATTATTTAACAAACACTCACCTTGTTAATAAATAAATACTCAGCCTACATCTTTAAGTAATAGTACTATGGTCATCAAAGTTCAACCTAAACAATTTCTATTTTAACATAAAAAACACAATCACCCACAAAAATAAACCCACTTTTGGCTTGTGTTTGTTTTGGGCTCTAATAAAGTATTTCCCTTTGATGGTTTGACCCTTCCAAAAAGATAGGAAGATAGGCTCCAGATGTTATGTTAATAGATAATGTTTTAGCCCTTTTAGGTTTTTTTGTAGATTGATGGTGTTTGGTGACGTATCATAAGCCCTTATGTTGGTAAGTAACAAAATTTTATTTGCCAAAAAAAAAAAAAAATCATACCACAAAAAATCTGATAAATCCTTCAAATTTGAGCTCTATAATGGACCAGTTACAAATGAGTTTACCATCTAATAACATATTTTATTTACATTCTTTGAGATACAACCATCAAAATAATAAGAGCCAACACAATATAACCAGCTGCTTTTGTATAATCCAACATGTACCAGTGTGTACATGCCCTTATATTTTAACTTGCATGTGAGAACTTTAGGCATGACATTAGTCTTTTTGTTAAGTGTCACTGAGGCATAATAACAACTAAGCAAACATCACAAATGTGCTTAATGCATGAAAAGAAGGAGAACAGCAATAGTTTGCGAACCTGTAAAAGCAGGTTTTTTCATATTTCTCCGTCTATGTTGAGCCATTGCAACCCTGATGGCATCTTCCACCTTCAAGGAAATCAAATAAAAATTTACGCTTACAATAACTGCTAATATCTTCTTCTGCGTCCCATAATAGAAAATAAACCCAGCTCAGATTCAGCAAATAACAGACCATTGTCTAGTTTTGCAGGCAGAGAGCATAAAATCAAGGGATGCCTCATCTCATAGGAAAAAAATGCATTCAAAGGATTAAAAGTCTATAAAATTTTTACTAAATATACATGCAGAAAATAAAGATGCATAAGTATAGTAGTTTCAGAAATAGTAGTGCTAATTAAAAAAATTGCATCAACCTTAAGTACAGATAGTTCCCTCAGACCTCTCTCTACCATAAGCATGCTCTCAGCGCTTCCCTCTCCTGAAAGTTCATTAGCTTCACAGATTGTCTTTTCCCTTTTCTCATCATTGTTAGCTGCACATAAGTAGACAGTGGATTGATTAGAACACAAGGATTTTCTTACATATGATGTCTTTTTCATTAAATCACTTGGTGCCAAAACATAGTCTACATTCATAATCAATATTGCTTTTCAGTTAATTTTTTCAGCGTGATTTGGTTTAAGGACAACAAATACCATAAACCCTCTTCTATGCATATACCACAGACCTGAAAGCCCCTCAGCTGGACCTTCCAGGAATGCAAGAGCCATCGCTGATCATCAGTGTTCCAACCTTAGCCCAAACCCATGGCTCTTTGACAAGTGACAGATATCAGTCATGCTCATCTACTCAAGAACTGGTTTGGACAAAAGCCCGGGGATCAGCAAGGAAGCAAGGGAAAGTGGAAAGGAGGAAGGATTTATCCATCTCTGAGAATCCCAAAATGCCTTTTAAAGATCATAGTACTAAACTACTAATACCTACAGATGTATGACACCTTAAAAGGAGATGGAAAAAAAAACCCTGTATTGAGTCTGACATTTTTAAAGAGTGAGTATTTACAGGAGGATAATATGTTAGAAAAAAATCCTTCAAAAATATTTATTTCAGTATTACTCAGAAGCAATATATAATGATCTATTTGAAGTAATAACAAACTAAAAGAACAATATTTCTGCACCTGAGTGATTGTCTTCCTTTGCTTTCTGTCCTGCAGCAATAACAATCTCAACAGGTAGTGGGGCAAAGGATGACCAATATTCAAGTTTGGCTTCCGCGATATCTGGATAGATACCTTAGAAATGTATAGAGCCATATATCAGCTTTCATTATTTGCATTTAAAAAAAAAAAAAATAAAAACAATAATTAGATGTCAACAGGCTCTTGCTAAATTATTCAATTACCATATCGTACACATAAACCCCAGTATCGAGCAAGCCAACACCTCTTAAGAACCACCTCTTCCGATTCCAACGTTATGAACCATGTAAATACAATTGGAAACAACTATAATAAGAAATGAAAGAGGAGTAGAGCTCAAACCATCTCTTCCTGCGTCAACATTAATCTATGAACCATAGACCGAAGGGATCTTAATTCAGACTCGGACTCCTGGAGTTGATCAAGTGCAGAAATTGCCTCATCCCTAGCAGTCTATTCAAAATAAAGTTTCATTTTGTCTATTAACAAGCATGAAAAGAAAATGTAGCCGCTGAAAGATAGGTAGCCAAAGAAGTAAAATTGGATACCTCTGCCTCTATCCTAAGTGCCACAACATCTCCTGTTTTGCCACCATATTTCTGTGAAGCAACTCTGAGTGCAGCCTGCACATGAAGAAAGAGTTGGACGATGGCTTTATTCAGAATAAGTAACCCAAGGCAATTGTTTCAAAAATTATGGCATAAAAGGAGATTTATAGGCATTGAAAAAAATTGCTTCAATTATGGCAAGAGGTGGAAGAAAATGCATTTATATTTCCCTCATAGGCAAACCAGCTAACTGTAGTAATAAGGATCACTTATATGTCTGACTGTAATCACCATATGGATCAAATGAACCATCGGTAAAAGGGTGAAAATGAGATTGCTCAAAAGCATGCTTAAACTTCAATTACAAAAAGATAATTGCACCCTTGTAAGGAATTAGATACATATATATATCAAGCCAAAAATAACATGCACATGACTAAAAAATTTCCATTATGATTATTACTATATATAAAGCAAATACAATAGCAAAGTTAGGATAACAGACCTCCCTTTGCTGTAAGGCTGCCTCTTTTCTGAAGAGTATAAAAGATATCAGCCATTTAACCATAATTAAACATTAGGACTAAGTATATAAAGGTGATTAAAATAATGCTTGCCTGTTTAAAAGCCGAGCTTCCATAGTCACACCCTCTCCGAGATTAGCAACCTAAAACCAAGGAAGCATGCATTTAAATGGGAAAATGGAAAACTATTAAAAGTTGTATGATTAGTCAAATTACTATTTTGAAATTTAAAAATCAATAATTACAATATCCAAAGAATTATAGTTGAAGGTTTCCAAAAGACTTACTGAAAACACCCATTAACAATCCAATATCTAGTACATACTCTACTCAGAAGGGGTTTTGTTTGATAATGTATTTTCCATACAAGAATCAATTTTCTACGGAGACTCGCCCACCCTTCTAGTCCAAAATGAAACACTACCACTCAAACAATTGCATTAAAGAAGACGGAAGGGATCCATTCAAGGCCTTCTACCACTTTGTCCAAAGAGCAAGAAGAAAAGAAAAAGGTAAAAAGGGCATTTTATCTTAATCCTCTAAAACAAAAATGGTAAGTGTCTCAACATTTCCCTTTTAATAGAGCCAGCATGTTACAGAATTATCCAATTGGTTAAATCAACTTGTAGCCGATGAACAATTATGTACCTCCAAGAACTGGATGAGAACAAACCTTTTACTTACATTTCTTTTTCCAATTTAGTCAATTCATACAATCTCTTTAAATCAATTAATTCTCAAAAATGTTCCTACTTTATTCATGCTACTCAAGAACTATGGTTTTTTAAGGTGAACCAGTGAGCTATGATTGACACCATTAACTACTTTAGCCTACACTTTGCTGAACAAAAATATTGATTTTAAAAAATCTGTAACTAAAGAAAATTTAATAAAGAAATCATCACGAGAAAATAATGCCTCCATGAAGAGGCCAAAATATTTAATAAGCAAATGTTTGAAGCAATATCTCAGCCAATATAACGAAGAAGCAGTGATAAAATCAGCTATCTGTTTGATTATTTGCTTCTAAGGTAATATAAGTAAGCATAGTTTATATCACTTAGTATGATAACTTATAATAAGATTAAATCCTCGTAACAGCAGTTAAAACTCCAGAGCTCAATAATGAAATTATCACAAAATGGCTCACAATATGAAAAATCAACGTATTTGAGTTTCTCTAAGAAGAAGAAGATACTTTTCTTCAAAAAAGAAGAAGAAGATATTAGTAAAACAGTCATGTTATGTTTTAGAATTCTGCTAGGTTCAAATTCAAGCTCACTAAAAGACATGTCAGGAGCTTGTAATAAATTAAAAAAAATATATATTAAAAAACATTTCCTTGAAGCAACAATCTCAAAATGGTGGCATTCTGGTAAAGGTATTTATCCATAAAGAAAGAACTTTCTCTTTATTCAAAAGCAATGCAAATCTACAATCCAATAGCCTTCCAAATTGAACTTTACCTGTTTCTCAAGTTGCTTAGCTCTTGCTTCAGAATCTTGAAACCGCTCCTCTGCAATTCGGAGCTGAATAAACATGCACCATAAGTGAAAGCAAAAAAAGAGAAAGTAAATACCATAACTAAGGATCCCTCTTAAACCAACCCAGATTCAATGCATTTTATGCGCTTATGCAAGAAAAATGTGGTGTTGTGAGTCTTGTGACACATAGGGATGGTCCCTTAGACTACAATCTAAAAACAAAGAAATTGTTTACACAACAGTCAAGATCTTCAAGATAAATTGCAAAATGAGAATACATCATATTGTCTCCTTCACAGAAATCTGCCAAGCAAAACAGTTGTTGAATGCCTATTGAAACAATTTTTATAAACAACCAAGAATAAATACTCAATATACCAACCATTGTCAACAATGCAGTAAAGCCCCAAAAATCATCAGACATAAGACCATAATTAAGAGTCAAGATTATATAGAGAAGGAAAACATAATCCAGCAATGTACTGCACCTTGTCGAGAAGACTGTCATTTTCCTCCTGCAGCATATCAAGCTGCACAAAATATTCATTTTAAATTAATTAGGTATGGAGATAAACTATAACAGAGAGGTGAAAACTGGTAAAGAAACCAACTGAGAGAAACACAAGAAATACAACTAAAAACATCATACAGAAATGAATGGAGTGAAATGAATATTATTATCATAAGATTATATATGCACAACTATGAAGTGTTTGGCCTACCACAATGAAAGGTTATCTCCGATAATAAAAGCAGGAATCTAAATGCATATTGTATTGGTTAGAAAACAGATAATTTACCTCATCTTGAAGGGCTGTTGAAGAAAGCTGATCATTAGGTTCTTTTGGCTCTCTTGATATCATGCTTCCAAAGTCCAATGACAACCTATTATATGCCAAAAATTAATAAGAATTAGTGTTAATAAGACTAACAGTTCTACAAATAAGCTTATCAACTAAATCAAACACATCTGCAATAAGCTCCAAGACTTTGATTAAAGATAAATCCATTCCAAAAAGCCAGCCTGTAATACTACTGGAGAGATGTATAGCCATTCTCTAAGCTACCGGTGTCTGAAAGAGAGGAAGAATATATGCACAAGTCAAAAATATATGCACGTTCAGTTCAAAATATTTGCACACTTATCCTTTTCATCTTTCTCATTGGATACGAACCATATAATAGCTTGAAAACAATATAATCCACAAGCACTAAAGATTCAATAAGCAATACTATAAACAACCTAGGGTTATATAGTTTACAACACACTACATATCTCCCCCCAAAATAGAGTTTCACCATCTGAGGGTTTGTATTACCTCCTACTACTGACGCTACCAGCCATAGGACTCGATAAAGTTGGTTGCTTCATAGATGTTTTAACAGCAGGGGGCATCATAGTAACTGATTTAATCCCTGAAGGTCGACTTGTCAAGATAGAACGAGCAGATGGAGGCTGTTCAGAAGGATTGATGGCCATAGAAGATCGCTCAGGTAAATTGTGTTCCTCAGAGTTCACAGACACAAGGGAATGAGCAGAAGGTTCTCCATTAGTTCTAACAGATAGAGATACCCTTCCACTCAAGGCATTTTGTTCTTCCACCATATCTATTGAATCCATGGAAGACCTAGATGCTTTAACTGCGGTTACTAAAGGAGTTGATGACTGCTTTGGCTCCTGAGTGTTAATGGAGGTCTGAGATAGCCGACCTGCTGAAGATGGTCTTGGTAATGGATGTTCATTGTTCTTGGCGGAGAAAGATGGACGAGCACCCATTGGAGTTCGCAGTGACGTAGGTTGCTCAGTAGCAGCTGGACGAACTGACTACAAAAGCAACACAAGATTTCCATGTAAGTTGGGTTTTAAATAATGCAGCCACATCATTAACCCCATTCCCATTTATTTTTTTTTATTATTATCCCTAGTAGAAAACACAAGATTGATGACAATCATCACGTAAATTATTAGGCTGATGCATTCTTTTAGCACGGCTAAATTTAATACTCTTTGTGTCATAATTATCAGTATAATACTCGGAAACTAGCCCAAATTTTAGCATGCTCAACAGATCAGACACCCCCTCTCCCAATGCATATTCTAGTAATTCATCGTTCCATCAAAAGCAAGAGTCAATAAATCTTAGGAGGTAATAAAAAGTGAAAGTATAAGATAATATCACTCAATCAATTATGGCTACAACTAAAACTTCTTAAACAATGTGTGTGTGTGCAACTGCTCATCGATCTTACCAATCCTAACGCAAACCCTCTATTCTCCATAACCATCTTTAGAAACAAAAGCAGAACCATATGCTCAAAAAAGTACCTTGGGAGATCGAGGTCTACCAGGCCTTCCAGCAACACGCCCAAGGCCGCCCACAGGTTGATAATCAACAAGGAGATCATCCTCATCTTCATCATCATCATCGCCCGAATGAGCCATTACTTGTGCAAGTCTCTGAGCCGCCGCCATAGCAGCCACATTTTGAGGCTTCTTCATGGCAGATACCCCAGAAGACGAAGAACGAGCGTGACGGTGAACCGGTGACATAGTCACTGGAGATGCAGGGTCACTTGGGCTATCTATACTCTTTTGTCTATCATACCTTGACCGGAACCGATCCATAATTGCCAAAAATGATCATAACCTGCAATACCCAACAACAAAAAAACGATCATTCATTCATTATCCATGCCATTACGCTATAAAGAAGATCAAAGAATTCATTAAGGCATTTGATGACCTTTATCAAACAGTTGGTGTGCATTACATTAAGCCAAATGAATTTCAATGCAAGAATGTAACTTTCTTCTTGGGATTTTGGTTTACGTTGTTGGGTACGTGAGATCTAACCAGGAATGATGGGGTGTTGTGTTTGCATGAGTGGTTTTGATTATTTTTTTCTCTCTCCTCCATTGTTTTTGTGTATATCCTGGTACGTGTAACGGCAACAGAGAGCTGTTTGCGGGTTTCTTTGAGAGCAATAACCGTTTTTTAAAATGGTTCATTTCATTATGCAAAAACTTGAGTGACCTAGAGTCCTAGACATAAAATTCAACATTATTTTTTTCAGTTTTTGGATAAACAAAGATAGCGAGAGTGAATCCTCGATAAGGCTTTAAGTCATTCTTGCTGATCACAAGTACTAACAAATAAAGCGACTATATGAGTTTTATAATACTTTTTCCATATCATAATAATCGAAACATTTTGACTTTGCACAATTCGTGCGCTTATTTTGACTATTTCTTTTATTAATACACAATAATAAACACATGTTGTCTTGTAAAAAAAAAAAAAAAAACTTATGTTGTCACTTTATATATACTTTCATTATATTTACTTTTTATGCTTCTTAATACAAGTAATAGTATATAATTACAAATATTAATTGCATTGACATGTGCGTCAGTCAAATTGCTATTGTTTTTTTTTTTTTTAATGGAATAGAAAGGGGTCTAAATTCTCAATACAAGTATTGAACACTTCTAAACTAATGGCATCGCTTCTAAACTGCTCCTGAATAATTTTAGATGTCTTTGCATCGTTCTTGACGGAGCTTCATTGATGTATAGTCGCGAAAGTGATAAAACTTTATTGGTCATCAAGATCGACAAATTTGCAAGACGAATCTTCTAAATCTACACCCCTAAACCAACAGACTCGCAATTCCACAAATTTGCAAGACGAATCTTCTAAATTTGTATCCTTGCACACACGAAAAACAAACAAACAAACAAACAATACTAAAAATCCCACCATTAGGGAACTGACTAAACCCTACGTGGAGGGAATGACTATAATCATCATAGTGTTGGTTTGATCTTTATTGGCTAAAAACATTAAATTAGAGAAGAATTTGGGGCTTACCATCGATAAAATCGATGGCAGCCCCTAAGATTTACTATGGTGACTAGGTTTATTTGAAGAGAGAGAAGAAAGAGAATTGAGAGTTTTTGTTAGTTGAGACGAACACTAAAAGGGGGGGTGAATTGTATGTGAGTTCCTAGTGACTACTTTTGCGGAATTAAAACAGAATATAAAAGGAAATTAGCAAAGCACACAGGATTTTACGAGGAAACCTTTCAGAGCCTAACTGGAAGTAAAATCTCGACCCTCCAAGGGATTTCAAACCAAATCAATCCACTATAATAGGGCAAACTCTCCTAGTTACAACCTATTATAATAAGACCTTTACTCACAAGTTCCAGTCTAAACTTGCTACACGGTAGAACTCTATTCTACCCAACCTTAAGTCCCTAACTTAGATTCACTCAGCACTCCCTAAATGCTCTCACACTCAGCTTCAATCTTGAAGCCTACAATCTGTATGCAATACACTTAACACTTCACCCAATACCAAAACAATACAGACTTTTGACTTTAATATGTGATTGGAAAACTACACATGAAATCCGAAACTAATATGACAAAGTTTAGACTTGGCAAACTTACACTTTGAGCTCTCTTTAGATTCTTCACGCATAAACTCACAAAGTTGTGCAAATTATGTATTCTACAATATATACAAGTTGTACTCGTATGTAAAGTAGGGTTTTCAAAAGATAGAAATCATAAACTGTCGTTTTCATAATTACATGTTTAAGTAAATCTTTTTAGAAGAAAATCTTTTTAGAAAACTTATCAAAGATATAATTTATGAAAAGAATATCATTTTGTAAAACCGGATTTCATAAGATAAAATATTTTAAAAATCTTTTCATAAATTAAAAACTTATCTTTTATAAACTTTCCATTTATAAAGCTTGTCAAGCTTTGTCACGCTTCTAATCAATTCCATGCATAAACTTTCCCAACATATTTATAATAATCCTTAGATAAATAAACTTAACAAAAAGACTTATGTTCTCTAGCTGGATTATTTCATCATACGCTGAATTGTTAGGATACTTGGGCTTCACGCAGTCCAGGACTAAGTTCTTGTTGTCCTTCTTTCTCCAGCTCCTTGCTGGAACTTCGCAGGCCAAGTTCTTATAGAACTTGTTGTCTTCAACGCAGACCAAGCCAGTCTGAAAGGAATGGTGTCCTTCCAACAAGTGTATTCTTCCGATAGAGGGTGCAAAATTATTACAGAGCTAATTCTTCAGTAAGGTCAAGTGATCGGAATTCCTAGGTGGAGGCCGCTTCCGATCAGTAATATCGAGGTACAATTGATATTACAGCTTAATCTTAACTGAACCCTTCGGGTCGAACCCAATCGAATCACCGATCCGAGACGACGAATTAATCCGAAAGGATTTGATGAGTCGACAGAGTTTTACGAATACAGACGTCGGAAATTGAGCCTAGGGCGTCGAGACCGAGCGTCGCAAAATCACAAGCAACAAGTATGAGCGTAGCCGTAGCTAGGCTAGGCTAGCTCATCACAAGCCTAGCGCACCATGGTGTGCTAGGCACTATCGCAGCCTAGGCGTGCCCTGGCAGCCCATCGCAAGCTAGCAGCATGCTAGCATGGGTGCCTGGGTGCGCATGGCAACCATCGCAAGCCCCACAAGCACCAGGCAGCCCATCGCAGCTAGCAGCGTGCTAGCCTGGGTGCCTCGGTGCTCATGGGGACTATCACAGCCCTATCGCACCAAGCACAGCACCCAAGTACATGTGCATAAGTGCGAGCACCATTGCAGCCCCCTAACACCACGCACAGCACCATCGTTGTGCTAGGCACATGCGTGTGTGCGTGTGCGTGTGCACCATAGCACAGCAAGCTGGCAAGGTAGTGTTGGCCTTGCGTGAGTGCTAGGCACCATCGCAGGCCACGCACCAAGCACGGCTAGCTGGCAGGCAGCGATGGCCTTGCGTGTGTGCTAGGCACCATCGCAGGCCACGCACCAAGCACAGCGCTAGTGCGTGCTAGCCTGGATGCACGTAGCTGTGCGAGCATGGGCGAGTAGTGCTGGCGTGCTAGGTGCCATGCGGTATGCTAGTGCGTCTGTGCGTGCCTCACACCAAGCATAGCAGTACTAGGCACTGGTTGATGCGTGTGCGAGGGATGCATGATGCGCAGCGTGGATGGTGCGAAGGAAGGGGCCAGCATGCGTGGCTCGCTAGCAGCACGCATGCTGGCTGTGCTAGCGATAGGATGCGAGAGAAAGATGCGTGTGCGTGCGATAGGCAGTGCTGGGCAGCCAGCAGCACCAGCGCCTAGCGCTGGCCAGCACCAGCGCCTAGCACAGCCTAGCATCAGGCATGCGAGGCTGCTGGGCAGGCACATGCTAGCTGGCTGGGCTGGCCAGCACCATGCTAGCTGGCAGCAGCCCAACACCCTTCTTAGGTGAGGCGGTTTTGGTGAGGGGTGGGGACCAAGCTTGGGCAAAGCCTTGAGGAGCAAGGCAATGGTCCCCCCACCCATTCATGGTCCTCACCTAACCTCCTCTCTCCATTTGACACTTGTTGCATTGTGATTAGATTTGTTTATTAATTTATCTTAGAAATAAATTAATTAGCAAAATATACATTCTCCCACATTGGTTGGGGAATGAAATACAAGGGTTCATTTCCCTATAAATACTAAGCTTGGGTATTGGGAAATAAACAACCTTGAGTGGAATTAAAAAGGCAACTCTAAGAAAAGAGTAAACCCTTGATTCGTAAAACTCATAGTTATTTTGTCCGGGTCTTGACTAACCTTCAAGAATTAGGACGCTCGGGTCGGGTCGAGGGTACGATCCGTCGGAGATCTCGTCTTTTCGGGATTTTGAAGTAAGAGCTCTTTGGGAGCGAAGCACGCGTCAAAGGTATAATTCTTGTTCTTAATCTTATTTGATTAAGTTTATTATGCTTGTTTAATTGCTTTAATTAAGGGGCGGGTCTTGGTGGGTTTCCTTCCGCGTAGTGACGGGTCACTACGAAACCCTACACAGTCTTCTTAGCTTGCTGTCAAGCTCCTGTTAGGGAACCTTTCACAGTGTTCCTGTTAGGGAACTCAATTAGTTTAATTATGGAACTCTTCTTCTACTCTCTTTAACTTTCCTTAGGATCTCCTTGAGTCTTCATAGTCAAGTTACTCTTCCATTTCTCAAGTCAACTTCACCTGTTCTAGTTAAGCATTTAGAGAAATCGCATTAGTTGAAGTTTGCTTTTATTCATCATCATCATAACTCTTAAGCTTCAACAATTTCCCCCTTTTTGATGATGACAAACTTAGCAAATTTTGAGCAGGAAAGTTAAATACAATAGAAGGTCGTATTTTTGATTTTTTAACAAGAAAATAAAAACACACAGAAACGGAAACAAAAATAACTTAAGAAAAACTATACCAGAGAAAAAAACAAACAAAAACAAACTATTAAACTATTATTTACACAATATTAAAGAAATCTTTAACACTTTATCAACTGGATAATTGAAGCATTTGACATATTTATAGAGGCAGATCGAGCAGCAAAAATAAACTGTTAATCTTGGTTATTAAATTAGTGATACTTTGTAAGTATGAAAATCATACATGCAATAATTGTTCTTTATTTCAGATCATCTTTTTAGATGCATTCATTAGGACTTTCTACAAAAATCTACATACATAGCATCAAAACAAAATCTACATACACCCAAGGCACACCCAATAGTATTTTCCACTACTAGAAAACAAGCAATTTTCGGCGGAATTTTCCGTCAAAAACATCCTGAAATCCGTCAGAAAACGTGTTTCCGACGGAATTCAGTCTGAAAACGTAGACGTTTTGGTAGGAAAAACGACCTTTTCCGACGGAAATCTTGTCGGAAGCACTTTTTCGATGGAATTCAGGCATCAGAAGATATTTTACGGGCTGGAAAAGTTCGTTTGAAATTTCCGACAGACAAAATTCCGCCAGAAATTTTCGAACGGAAATTCCGTCGAAAAATGCTTTAAAAAAAAAAGGCCCACCACCGCCACTTGCCCCTTACATCAAACCACCACCACCAGCCAACCCCCTCTCCACCTCTCTCTCCCCAAATTAACCGACTACATTTCCCAAACTAAACCCACCCACCCTAACCCTTATCCCTAACGACCTGACCTAAACTCACCTAAGCCTTGCGCCAGGGCATCCTGACCTAAACCCACCTAAGACCACCGCCACCGACAAATATAACCAGAAGACCACCGTCACTGACAAACCCTAAGCCTATATCTACACCACAATTACCCGA